ACATCTCTCACTCACTCACTCACCCATTGACCCGTCCATAACATACCCGACGCGCCAACTAAGAGGTATTTTTTTTACAAAAAAATAACTCAAAAACGAAAAAACGTCGCCATTTCCTAAACGATCTCCAGCCACTGCACACTAATGGCTGATAGTGTTCAATGGCTCAGCCAATCGGATTGCAGCATTTACATTAGTATACTAGTAGAATTCTACTAATAAACAATTAAATTATGAGCTCGAGATTTCTATCACGCATAGAACTCGAGAGCGAATAATCTAATTGTTTTAGTATAAATCTACTAGTCGTTCAAAACTTTATCTAAATCCTCTTCATAGACACTTCGAAAACGCGAAGAAGCGGCCGTAATTTTGTTAACAAGGGCACACTGCTACGCTACTCACTATCTATCACAGAATAGATAGTGAGTAGCGTAGCCAATCAGGGGACGGCATTCGTGATAGAACGTTACTAGATTAATACTAAAACTCGATAGAAACACGGTACATGACAAATCAATGAAAAGAAACATTAATGTAAGGCAATATGCCAAAAAAATATGTTTGAGTAGGGGATTCAGGCAGTTCTCCAGGGTTAACTTTTGTTTTTCTTTTTTTGGATAAAAAGCATGTCATGGATGCATACAGGATGTAGAGGAAGAGGTCTCTTTGATTGGATTATATGGTCTCAGTGGGGTATAAGTTACCATAAGATATCTTCTAAGCATTAGTGAAGATTAATTTTACGGCTAAACTACGGAATACAGGGCCACTTTTAATCATGCACCAAAAGAGTCGGTTCGTTTGGCTCGTTTGCTCCTTTGTCATCCGCTGCCGAGCCAAACAAGCCACTAAATTATATAGACCCAGGACTTTATGTGTATATATATTATTCTTTGCTCTTTTATCCACTGCCGAGCCAAACGAGCCACTAAATATATAGACCTAGGACTTAATGCAAATATAGATTATTCTTTGTTCTTTTATCCACTGCCAAGCCAAACGAGCCACTAACTATATGCACCTTCAAAAGTGGCCCTGTATTGTGTAGTTGATTTTACCTTAATAAGACCAGGATATTCAAAACCTGGAAATCCATAGACATGTATGTCTCTTCTTCCACAAGAAGCACAAAATATGAAGCAAGGAAATTTGTCAGGAGAGTACAACTGAGGCTCAACTACAGGCCAGTAACAAACACTCATCCTTTGTATCTGTTAATAAGAAATTGAGCAACTGAAATCCAAAGGATAATCCATAGTGTTTTATGGGATGAGAAGTGTTCCAAAAGAACCTAGAGTGTGAACCTCTAACACTAATATAAGACTGAAAATAACTTTTCATTCCATCAGCATATTAAATTTTGCTCAACAATATTGTATAAGTGCACAGATGCCAAATGTCTCCCTTGCCCACCCCTGAGTTCATTTGAAATTCACATCTGCCATCTGAGAACATACATCAAGAATGTACCCTGATGGCGAATGTCCTGGACTAAGCTAACCAGACAGTGTCACCCTGAAAACCCTTCCTGGGAAAAAAGTTTAAACTCAGGGCATGATAGGATGTTTTTAAGAATATATAATAATTATGCTAGAAAGATACATGTCGCCTTGTCAAGTTGGGGTGCTAAAACTAATAATTACCCTGTGTAAACTGACTTACAGAAAGTGGTATTGTAACACCAAGAGGCTTCAGAACTCTGTTTACCCAAGGACCTACACAAATAAGACATTCATTAACACCTCATTTGAAGACAAGTAATTAAAAAACTAACTTATTATGTCTTTTTGTACTAGTTAAACTGTGAATACCCTACATAATTCTTTAAAATAGTGTTGTAATAAATAAGAACCAAGGAAAATCCATAAGAATAAAGCAAGTGAGGGAAAATGCTCTTAGGGAAAAGACTGTATTTATAGCAAACACAAATCAGTTTTCACAGAATTCCAAGGATATCAACTGACTGTGGCATTTTGGCCATTTTGTCTCAAATAGGGTATGGTTTTTTGCACTCTAGTCTTGAATTCAGCATTTTTTTTAGAAGAAGCTACTTTTTCATCATTATCAATAAATCAATGAACATAAGCCATTCACAATGCCTTGAACATTATTCTGAACTAGGCAACTAATTATAAGACAGGTCTGAATCAGGGTATTGATTTAAGGGTCAGGTCTTAAATATGGTATAAAATTTTTGGTCAGGTCATAAACAGAGTAGAGAAAATTGCAGATTTTGGTTTTAAATAGTGCAAGGGTTTTGGGAAGCAGGCCACACACCCCACCCTATTTTTCTTGGAGTACCCCCCTCCCCCTTGAAAAATGTTACTATGTGTCTCAGGTGTGTCTTGGGAGTTGATTGATGCATTGTCATTCTCAGAGTGGAAACATCTGTCTGGGAATATGGTGATTTGTAGACTACTTGCAGTCCCTCTATTATTCTAAAATCTGCCAGGGAAGAACACATAATACTGAGCTAGCAAACACTCACTCAAAATACAAGAGAGAATGCTTGCAATCAAGGTGACACATAAATGAACATACTTTAATTTGTACATAAAAGAGTCTTACCAACAGTTATGACAACACTTTTTGCTTTGTAAGATTTCTTGGTAGTGTGTATGCTGATAACAGAACCAGGTTGAATATCTAGTACTTTCTCACTGTCATGCAAAATTCCACCAAATTCCACAAATTGATCCTTGTAAAACAAAGCAAGAAGAAAAATATTAAAAATGACCCAGCCAGAGAAAAGCTAATGACTGTACTTCAACATGCACCTAAATATGAAAGTTACACATGTTCTATAGTATACAGCCACCCTTAAAGAAAATTGTCTTGAAAAGGAAAAAACAATGGCCTGAATATTATCACCTGTTTCAAGACAAACCTTCAACATTCTTGTATCATTTGGTTTGTTATTAGCTTATGGTTAAAATATTTTAGACCAGGCAGTTTTTCTTTTGCAGATTCATAAAACCATTGCTCTGAGGATTAATTTGAGTTAAGGCAACTTTGTATCTTGCAAAAGTAGAGTGGTAAAAGAGTTACGAGTGATTCACACTATTGCGTTGGTCTTGCCTGACTAAGCTAAGCAATCAGGTTAAAAAACTCATGTCACACTGTCATAAAATCAGAAGTCAGAGCAGCAGGGAGGGCAACCAGACTTTTTTTCGGAGCCTCCAAGGTGGTTGAACCCTGTATCTTTATTAAATAAAGTCTCCAGGAGCGGCCCACACCTTTGCTGACAAAGGGGGACAGAGAGGCGAAATAAGGCTCTCAGGGGCAGCCCATACCCTCGACGGCCAAGAAAGCCAGCTCAGACCTTTTCTTTAAAGTAAATTAGCGGCCTCAGGGTGGCCCACATCCTCGCTGGTCAAGGGTTTTTTGCTATTAATAACAAAGGTCTGAGCAGATTCTCAAAACAAGGTCCAAGTTCTAATTACACACATACGCTGGTGTTGGTATACAAAATGCCAACTGGTTATGATACGTGCAAATGGCTTGTGAAAGGCAAAACACAGCTTTGCAGAAGAAGTTGTATGAAAGACTATTGTAATGATCATAGGGTGAAACTGAGGAAAGATCCATGCTCCCCATTACTGTGCTTAGGGAGCGGAGTGGGAGTGAAAAATAAATATCAGACGTGTACTTGTTGTGGCTATGGCAGATTGTATATACGTGATAGAGATGGTTTGAAAAGAGAATAGTGTTGTTTGGGCGCCATAGAAAACTCCATTTAAAGGTTTATGGTATTTTGCAGGAGCTGTCATGGGCTCCTGTATTTTGTTAGGATGAGATATGGGTCGAGGGCAAAAAGGGCCAATTGATCAAAGTTGAAAGAAGCCAAAAATTATCAAAGATGAAAAAAGAGAATCAGTTATTTGGTGGCATTTTTGGGCACCGAATCCTGATAAAACAACAGCTTTCTTTTCACCAGATGATGTTGTTGATTTTATGAAACAGATGAATCTCCAGCAGGTTGCTAATATTCTTCTCAAAATATAAATTTAACGCGCTGAAAGCTGCCCAAGTCCTGGGTAAAATAAGGAGTAACAGAACACTCATAACATTATGTCTCTGAATTCATGGCTGCTTCAAGGCTTTCGTCTGATGTGCTGGAATTGTTTTCGCACAAAGAAAAACAAAAGGCAGGAATTTTAAGTGTTTTATTTAAAACAATTGCAACGAAGTGTAACATTCTGGCTCATTCTGACACACATATATGATAGCGGTTCTGTCACTGGATTTTGGCAGCAATTGGAGTCCCTCAGCAGAAGGGTATTTTGTTGTAAACTAAACATTAAAATCAAAAGGAAAACAAAAAACAGACAGACTATTGTTCATCATCATCACTGCTTGCTTCAAAAGCTACCTCAAGGTGATGAATTTCTTCATCTAATAGTTCTAATAGTTCATAATTCATGCCAAAAGGGTGTATATAACTTTTTACGCTGATTCTTATTTTTTGCAGGATTGACCAAATTTTTGGCAGACTGACTTGTTTTGACATGAAAAGCATCGTTGCATAATTGTTTTTGTTGATTTGCCCTTTGTTTTCAAGAAATAACATCTGCAAAAAACTCAGTTTTCCAAAGGTATCTTTTGGAGATCTTTTGTTGAACGACAAACAAAAGAAACCTTTTGTTTTGCTAAACAATGAAGTCACCGGAGCGTGGCATTTGCCGCTAGTTTTATTATTCATATAATTACGCTATTCTCTTACTGTTGCTTTGTTAGCGCAAGCGAATATTAGGCACTGAATGTACCAGATTCAAGTTTGTTCAAATCTGTCGTGACACCAGTTCGATACGAGGTCACTCAACTTTTTTTCCGGTCTATTTCTCTACTTCTTTCAAACATGAAAACATCTATTGAAAAAAACAGTGCTGTCAAAACTGCTAAAATTAACCATTTAAGTTCGCGTTGTGTCGAAATCCTCCTTCGAAAGATTCACTCCAAAAGATGCCGCTTGGAAAAATGAGTGTTTTTGCATACGTTATTTCTCGAAAACAAAGCGCAAATCAGCAGTTGTGCAAGCAGAATATAATGCCAAAGCAAGAAAGAACTTGTCTTCCTACATTTTAAGTAGTAAAACATGAACCTATGCAAATCCAGTGGAACTGAACAGTTAAACAAACAGAATCTGACACTGTAGCAAGAAAGAAATTGTCTTACTATGTTTTAGGTGGAAAGTATGAACCAATGCAAATACGTGCTTCAAGTATTTGCACACCCTTTAATGTCCTAAATTTGATCACGTTAGTGGTTATGTAAAAGAAAATGAAAAATTGATGCATGTTGAGTAATGTGCTGCTGTTATTAATATCCTTTCTTTATTTCTATGTGCTTTAGGTCTACATAAGCATTGCTGCTGCTTACTGAAATTACCCCAGTATGTATGGTGTAAAGTTTCTATCAGCTCAATTGTTTGACTAGGATTTGTAAAGATGCGTGCCACTTAGGAAAAAATTCAGTATCTACAGTAAAGTATCTTTTTTAAAAAAAACTCCTGAAACTGATGTTTTTATTTTTGATCAACACTCACTATATGTATGTGTGTCTTTGTGTGACGAAATAAATATTGACTCGAAGCCACTGATCGGATCAATTGCAGCCCAGAAGAAAACATCAGGATGAATTTACAAAACAGTTCGTGAATGTGGACGAAAGCAAGTTCTTTGCACAAGTTGATGTTGATAAAAAGCAGAACATAAGTGCAGGAATATTTTTCAAAGAAGATACGGGATCTTTGCAGAGCGTGTTTGGCTCAGACAGAAAATACTGGAGCGAAGAAATGAAAAATGCTCTTGATGTGTTGGGTGTGGCAGGGTTTCCCAATCAATTGTTGCCAATGGGCTTCAAGCATGAAGAAAATATTCAACAGGGAAACAAAAATGTATGTGACTCCTGATTAATATTTTATGACAAAATTCAGAAAAATATTTCAAAAAAACTTAGACACACAGCAGTGGCAGAATCAAAACAATAGATGGCTGGTCCAAACATGAGATATTGGCCTCGACAGCTCAATTTTGCTGTATTCTGTTCTACAACAGCTTGTGGTATCTCTCACATACATTGTGTATAAGACCTTTTTATATCTTTCACGTGTACTTCACTGTCAGGTGAATTTTGTACCAGCTAGGTGGTATTCAGAGCATAAGTGCTGTCCCAGATATCCAACATTCAACCAATTTAATAATCATTATGATCATGTAGCCTCATACAAGAGGTTGTGTAATGAGTTGGGAATAAATCCGTCACATGATTTTCGCTTCACACACAGAGCAAACCACAGTCTGGGAAGCATATACATTTATACTGCAAGGGTGGGTGCAGTGTAAACAGAATTTGTATATCCAGAGTTCAATATTTTCTCAGATTAAGGTGGCAAGGCAATCAAAGGAAACCTGACATGGAGCCAGATGACATTGCCTCTCATCAGTATGATTGGTTTGCCCCAAACACAGCCTCTGGTTTGATGCAGGCAGGAATTTTGTATATCATTAGTCAATCAAAGCATTTGTTTACTGCATCTTGGGGTCTACATGTTAAGTTGAAAGACAATCATAAATTTATTTTTTGTCAGCACGTTTTGTGGTGGTTACATTTCATATTTGACAATTATTATTCCACGAGCATGCGTTAGATATGAGATGATAAATACATGTAGCCAACGAGGCACGTAGCCAAGTTGGCTATAATCATCTCATATCCAACGTACAAAAGTGGAATAATTGTTTTATCAAAAACACCAACAAAATATACAAAACTACAATAAAAAATAAAAACGCCCCAAGCCAAAAAATTACGTGTATGCTTGCCACATTTGTACAACATGGTATAATTGCTCATGTACCATGATGGCTAAGCCAATGAAAACTCTTGAGTTGCAATATCTAATGATTCAGTTTTTAACAATTTTTATTAGACTCCACGCCACCCCTGATATACCCCCCTAAATAGGATAAAATACAGCTGTTTGCATAGCAAGACTACATAAAGCACTTACCTGCAGCGCTTTAACAGCACGATCTGCCTGAATTAATCCACTGGTAGGCTCTAATGCCCCACATTCCTCTGATGATACAGATAATCCTGGAAATCGTTTGTTGATCTCTTCTGCTGTAAGCTGCACACATTCCTGTCCTACATCTCGCACATTGCTAATTACTTGTGATACATCAGCAAAGGGTGGTTCATCTACTGTCAATAAACCACACTTCCTGAAACAATGGCATTAATGGTTGATTAAAATTACAAATATATATATATATACATTTAATAGCTTTTTGGTTTTCATGGAACTACTTCCATGATAATGATGATGTCATTCTTTGTATAGGAAATCACACCCTAACATTATGTTAATAATGAGCCATTTATCATATGAGTGAGGACTAAGTTTTTTAAAAGAATACATAATGATCATTCAACAAAATTAGTTAAAACATATTCTCCTGCCAGTACTATATGTTACAGGTGTAAGTTATTATTTTTTTCTTTTTGATCTCAGTTAATTTTTGATTTCAACTTTATGCAGGTTGTTTTCTTTGAGTCACTTTTTTCAATTTATCTCTTGTCAATAATAATTATTGACTAGGGATAACACCAACACACATATCTGCACTTTCTGGTTAAGAACTTAAAGTTGTTTATTAAAGCCGTGAGGTATTGAAACTTGTGGTCTATTGGGAAGAGTGAAATAAAATTCAAACAAAAACCAAACAAACCTGATAAGGGCTCTCCCAGCCTTTTTTTCAATTTCATCCCACATCTGAAAAGCCTCTGGCATCAATGCAGTATGAAATGCCTGTGAATAGCCGTAGCGTACTATTCTGCTTTGACCATGTGAACTGCCACGTGAGTGGGGAAGTAGAAACTAATAAAGAAAACAGGATTTTAATCATGTATAGTCTTAAACAGTCAAATCTATACTAAGCAGATAGACTGTAAAGCAGACACAAAGATTTGAAGTTTGTGCAATCCACACCCATCTTAAGTATGGCTGGTAATTCTCCAACCAGTGATGTGAGACACACTTGAGTCAACATTACAAAAATATGTAGGGTGCATTTCTTTGGGGTGATCTAGATCTGGATCAGTGATCCAAGATCACTCCAGATCTTGGCACATCAAAGGAAACAATGAATCTGTGACTAGAGTGGATTCATTGGTACCTTTGATGCACCATGATCTGAGTGATTGTGGATCACTGATCCTGATCCAGATCACCCCAAAGGAATGCACCCTTAATTTTACTTTTAAAAACTTGCTTGATGAAACAGAAAGAGAAATTCATTCCAAACTAAAACAACAGCAGAAATATTTTCTGAAAATTGCAGTGAAATCAATGACTGGGGTAATAACTTGGCAACTTAAAGTTTTGAAAGAAGTAAATTATGTGATCTAGCAAGCTGCTAAAGATAAGGTTGAAAAATTTGACATAATTTGCATAAATGACATGATAGGCCTTATCACGGTTTTCGACACCATCTTGATGGGTTGGCAGAGCTGCCATAATTACAGTGTTTGTATGGGAATACACAATTTGTCAATTGCAACATTAAAATACTAGGTAGAAGATTGTATTCACCACGTTTGAAGGATGTAGCTTGACTAGAAGACACTCAGTTAATTTGTCTAGTTTTCTATTCATTTGTCTGTAAATTTGGCTGGGTAGATGCGGTTCACGGGGAAAAAAATATAGACAAATGTATGGGAAATTAAAAATTAACTGAGAGTCTTCTAGCGCAGTTACATCCTTCAAATTTGGTGAATACAATCTGCTACCTAGTATGGTAAAGTTGTGATTCATAAATTGTTCAAAATCAATATTTAAAAAAAAGTCATCTGTCATCCGATTCCTGTACAAACACTGTAATTTCTGACTACTTTGCCTATGTGGAAAGATGGCGCTGAAAACCGTGATAAGGCCTATTGCCTTCTCATTACTGACCATTGCTTGCTAGTAAGACACTTCAAGAACACAAAAACATGATATATTCACATTAAGTAGAAAGTAGAGAAAGCACAAAATTTTCAATAGGTCAATAAAGGTATAAATAACTCTTGTTAAGGATGGTGTCTACTAAATACAAAGGTTTTTGCACCAGGTTAGGATCATGTGGAAAAAGTAGATCTTTGCAGGGTTATTGGAATCCACAAAGAACAAAGTGGCTGCGAGCCACTGAACTTGGAAAATAAATTATGATAGGGTGTTATGAGGCATTGCTCATTAAGGAATCGAACTACTTGTGATGTGAGGGCAGTCTAGCTTTCGAACAAGCCCATAAAGCCTTCTTCCATTCAGTGCTGTGTTGTGATATTTGCAAAACAAAAAAGTTCAATGTTAAGAAACTGTTTGTTACTTAGGCCTGCCTACATGTTTTACATTACATGCATCTGTACATGTCTTCCTTGTGCTGTGGTCAAAAATGGCAAGATCATTTTGTTTGGTCAAAAGTGAGGTATAGACTGAGCGAAACACTTGAGCCTGCGGTACGTAAATAAAACATTAATACTTTCGCCTTATGGTAACTTATGTACAAGCAGCTCAGTGTGATAAGCGCTGGCCCACCATGCGAGACATTAGGAGTTCGAATCCCACTGGTGACTGCTCATTATTTTTCCGTTTCTTCTTCATTGTTTTTTCTTTTTCTGTCAAAAAACCATTTACCAAAAGGTAGCGTTTAACAGAAAGTGAAGGAGTGAAGGAGTGAAGGAGTGAGGGGGTTATGGAGTGAAATGGTTCCATCACTACAACTTGGAAAATAATAAATAGAAAGACTCTAGCCACACATTTTTTCGAGATATTTAGCTTTGAATCTCAACAAAAATGCTGACATCAGCATTTTTCTGAAAAAAGAAGAAAAGGGTATTTCTTCACAGATTTCCTTAGAATTCACCTTTACATACAGAAAAGCAAACACATTTATAAAGATCTTAATACTGCATGGTAAATGGTAATATAAAACCATTTTTGATATGTTTTTAATAACAAAATCGTTGCAACAGTGCTTTTAGCATCTCTGACAGCATTCCTCTGTTTCAGCTAAAATACAGTCTAACCCACGCAAAATTTTTACTGAGATCTCATCGAGATTAGCAAGATCTTGCCGAGATTGACGAGATCTCGTGGCAAGATTTTCTACATCTCGCCGAGATTGCCAAGATCTTGCCATGATGTTCGAGTCTTTCTAAATCTTGGTAAGATCTCGGCGAGATCTTGCCAAGATTTTGAAAGACACAAGCATATTACCAAGATTGCCTACATCTCGGCGAGATCTCACGGAGATTTAGAAAGAACAAGAATCTCGCCGAGATCTCGCCAAAACTGCGAACGTCTCATTGAGATGTTTGCAGTTTTGACAAGGTCTTGGCGAGATTGTCGAGAATAGTTATAACCCAAAATCATTCCTAGAGGTTCTGCATTGAAATAAACTGCAATGTGGTTGACCACTAGAAATTATGGTTTGTCTTTAAGCCATTAGGAGCAGCCTTACCTTTGAGTTACTCAATGAGTTCTTGTTGTGGGAAATTTGTTTGTTAGATGTTTTTACTTAGTTACCATGGAAAGAGCTGCTTTGTTCAAGAAAAAGAATTACGGTAAACTAATTTCAGACATTTCATTGTGAATGTGAGTAGCCACAAGAGGATTCGTGGACTGAAGTCTGTATACAAAGTGCAAAACTTGAGCAGTTGATGAAGATAAACCTTTTCATGACATTCGCTTTGAGGTGACCTTGTAGCCAAGCCAAACGAATTGCCTTCAATTCTTTGCAGTTCACAGGTTTATTTAGACATCAGGTTAATTACTAACCATAAATCCTTGAATTAGCACCTAGGGCACTTATTCCAAATTTAGGAGAAGACAGGGGGTCGCTTAATTGGGCGGGGGGGGAATGCTTGTTAAATTTTTCCCAAATCGTGGCCTGNGGGGGGGGGGGGGAATGCTTGTTAAATTTTTCCCAAATCGTGGCCTGACATGATCATTTTTTAATACATGTATATCATATCCATTTAAACAGCAACATTAGCTGTTTATCAAAGTAAAAAGCTGATCCTAAAGTTTAAATCGTAGCACCGTTAGTACTTGAAATTTTTGTTTCCAAACTTAAGGTGTTCACAAACTGAAACAATGCACAAATCTAATACTACACAACGAAAACTACATCCTTTGTTGTCTCATTACTCTTCCACGAAATGGGGGGAGGGAAGGGGGGGCACTTATTCAAGGGGGGGCACTTATTTTCAATTTTGGCTGATAGCAGGAGGGCTTTTTTGAAGGGGGTCCATAATTGAGGAGGGGGGGACTAATTCAAGGATTTACGGTATTCTTGTTTGCTCAATGTAAAGTACATGACAACCTGAGAATAAAGGTTAGCTCTCCTGTATTTCTAGTTTCAGTAAATTAAAAAATGACAATTTTCCTCTCATTACATGTAGCTAAGTGAAGTGAAGGTGAAAGTGTCTGATACTGTTAAGCTTTTCTGAACTGTATGTGATGGTCTCATCTGTCGGTAAATCTGGTTGTTTTTGACATAGCGGAATCAAATTTCAGTGTGTTTATTTTGTATGCTAGAGACTATTTCTCTCAAAGAATTTATGATAGCTGCATTTTGACATTTTGATATCTTGGCAACTTCCAGTTTCTTGGGGAGTTTTTTTGGCCTCCAAGATTTTGATATCTTGATGAGAATCTCGGCTAGAATCTTGGCGAGATCTTACTTGAAATCTCGCCAAGAATCTCGGCGAGTTTTTGGCCGCCGAGATTTCAAGATCTCGCCGACACCTTGGCAAGAATCTCGATGAGTTTTTGGCCGGCAAGATCTCACCGAGATCTTGGCAATCTCGCCGGCCAAAAACTCACCGAGATTCTCACTGAGATCTCTTTCAAAATTTTGCAGGGGATAATACCTTTTGCTCACAGCCAGAAACTAATCACATATTGAATAGGCTTGCCACTTCCATTTTACAACTTAAAATGTAGGCGTAGCCACATGTTTTTTTGAGTTATTCATTTTTTTTGAAAACTTTTATGGTGCCCGTCACATTTTTTCCCTGTCACCTCCCCAGTAAGTAAAAAATTTGCATATCTCACTTTTGTTTTGTGCGCAAACTATGCCATCTGTAGGTACATGTTTACAGTTGGATTTCAGTATAATTTTCGACAGATAACAGCTAGTTTTTCAGCTGGAAGGAGTTAACAATTAGTGGTTAAGCCTTGGTCAAACAGTGCATGATAGTCAATGACAGTTGATGATAGTTGGTGAAAATTCAGGGATTCAACTATCATCATGCACCGTTTGACCAAGGCTTTAGTGATATGCCACTAATCTGGTAAAGTATAGGTTCATTAACCGCGCGGCCATGGGCCGAGCGCGGTTCTAGGTTTACCCGTGGTTTATT